ACTTGTGGTGTCATTGATATGAAAAGTGGATACAACTACCAACAATGTAGCAACTTTAAGATAATCTTATGTTACTGCTAATTAATACTCTGACTGAGTGAGAGAAGCTGTGGCCGACTTGCACAATTTAAAAAAACAAAACAGAAAATAAAAATATCTGGTGAAATAGTCAGACGGGACAGCTTAAGCAGATACGAGAGGCCAAGAGCTAATTGGTTGATAGGCTGGAAAAACAAAAATTCAAACTTTTCGTTGTTGTTTCTAACAGCTTCTAATTATTATACGAAAAACTGAATGATATGTAGAAGGCATTTAGCCAGCTGACTGGACACTTGTTTTGAAGCAAACTTAATGAATTTCTTATTGCTGCCAGGCTGTTTCAGATTCCTTATTTGTGGGAGATGGATTGATTAGTGGGTGTTTTTTATGGGTGTTTTGTCACATTAATATAATAAAAGTAGGACACGTCTGGAAAGACTAGAATAATACCAGAGAAGAGGAATAAAGAGAATGGGGAAGAGATGAGAATAGAATCCAAACTGTTCCTAGCCCACAGGCCTATAACTTCCCATTCTGCGCTCAGTGGAAAATCAACAAAGGAATATTCCACATCTCTTTTTTTCTCCTTGCCCTCTCCACCTTGATCTTTCCATCTTGCAGTTTGGAAGGAAGGTAGGAAAAGAAGCTGAATGAGAAGGATGTGATTAGCTGGATTTAATCTCTTGCTTTCACAAAGTCACATGGCTTTAAGGATTGTTTTTTACATCAACTTGGTTTTATTGGGCAGCATACTGAGCAGACTATCGGGAATGATGGGAAGAAAGCTGAAGATCTTTATCTGCCAGCCTAGGGCGGTTAAAAGATTCCAAAATTCACTTGCTTCTTTCCTCATTTTGGCAGCTGAATGTGCTACTTAGAGCAGAATCAAACTCCAGATGAGAGTTGGTTACCTGCCAAAACTGGCTGGTTCAGAAGCCAAGCCTACCAGACACAGGCACAAGTTGCCAGAGTTTGGCTGGTGGCTGGTGGTAGTTTCCCACCCTCCAGTCATGTATTCCAGATGTTGTGGATTTAAATCCAACTTGTGACCTTGTTTCATGTCATCCCCTCTCTTGCGCTCTCTCCTGAATTTTTTCCTTTCCCAGTCTTTCCTCATTCTTTCCACACTCAACGAGCAGTACTGTAAGTAAAATATTGAAACAATTTGAGTATGATCTCGTTTGTGGAATACAAAAAATGTATTTGGATGACCGAAAAAGAGAAGTTTGTTCACCTTAAACTGCATTGTTTTTAGTTCACACTCCTTGTATTCCTGGAAAAACCTACCAGTAGTGAGGGAAGAGCTTCTTTCCAGGTAACTCTTATTGAGATGACCTTGAAATAGACACCTGTCCCAAAGCAGCTTTGGTGTTGGCATTTTTCTCCGTTAGTTCTTATTAAAGGCTATGACTAATTACATTTTTAAAGAAACATGTATTTCGGGCTTTCCTTAGAACAAGTCAAGGTTCTGTTTTTTAAATAGAATCATTTTGGACCGTCCCTTTAAAAATATGATTGTTTTTTTGAAGAATTTCACTTTGTAAGTTAGTTGATGAATAGGAAATGAGTCACAGTGTTGTGCGGGGTGACATAATCCTTAATTACAATGTAAACACACACACACACAATGTTTGTATTATGATTTCCACATCCCACTGCCTCAAATGTGAACCAGCGCATCCATGGACTCTATCCAAGAAAGATAGTTAACATCACTTGCTGGTATGTGAAGTACTTTTTTGATCCCTTAGTCGAGCAATTCAACCATTGACCTCTTAGTTTTGAAACAAGACAAGAGGTTCTGACTGAGAGACAGATTACACCACAGATGACAGAGTGGTAAGCATACCCAGTTTATCATCAGTTTTAAGCTGAATGGGACCAAAATGTACAAAATGACCATCGGGTTGTAGAAAACAACACTTAAAACTAGCAACCAAGGCCATAAACACCCCAGGAAGGTGTTTACCGAGTTCGTATATTGAGTGAGAAGTAGAGTGAAACTATTTTGACTTGCTTTTCTAATAACTCGCCCCCTGCTGGCTGTTAGAGAACATGGAGTGTGCAAGGCATTTCTGCACTGGCGTCACTGTTTTGATCCAATGGCCATTCCAATCAAGTTCATGAAACCAGTTGGGTGTCAATCCACAACTAAACGCAACCCCTCAACAAATCCAATGTTCTCCTTTGTATGGATAATGTGTGTTAAACGCTATGCCCACTGACCACCTTTCACACTTAAGAAAAGAGGCTCTTTGTTTGTTGAAGAACATTTGTTGGGTTTGTAAGGTCTCAGAAATACATATCTTTGTAAAAATTTGAGAAATATGGCAAACGCATTTCAAATCCTTGCTTGCTTCATTGTGTTTTTGTATCACTTAAAAATTAAATCTTGCGTGCTACTTGAACTATATTTTTCTTGCTGACTCTAGAGAAATAATTCATGGGCTTTCCCTTTAAAGCCTATAGTGTCACACAACTTGCATCAGCTTCATTTGCCTCCCGTAAGTGTGTTTATAGTCATACTAATGAGGTTAACCTGATTAAGACTACGGAATTTATATCACCCCTCCTTCACCCTGTTTATACATCTGTGTTTATGTGATAAGGTGCTTAAAATCTGCTTAACTTTATCTATTTTTAACCCATTAATAGCTGATTAATGATAAACTAATTGACACTTAGTTGAATGTTAGTTTGTCATTTATTGAGGATAAAATCTATGTTATCAATTGCTATGATTTGAGAAATTAAACAGAATACGACTGATCAGGCAAGATCATTAAATGCAGATTAACCAGTAGTAATAATATTTTTGGGGGGCAAAATGGCACAAAATGATTATTTCTAGAAGTGATGCAGCTGGTTTAAATATTATTTTCTGGCATTTTTGTGAGTCTTGAAGCATAATGAATTTCCTCATCAGGTGTAGCAGTAGGCATGGTTTTACAATCAATAAGTGGAGCTGATCGGTTTCATGTTAGGCTCTCATGAAATCATTCACTGGACTCAGCCTAACAGGATTATGGCTAAAACATGCAGAGAGGCTGCGTTGTAGATTAAGTGTGATCATCTTGTTAGGAATTGTCCAATAAAAGAGACTCGACCCGGCGCAGCTGGTTGACTTTGTTTTCCTCGATGCATGCACACGGATGGAAACACACGAGTCAGCCTCGCCATGTGTGTGCGGTGTGTGTTTGCACGTGTGTTTTGACAGACATGAAACAGAAAAAACGTCGTCGTAATTTTTTCCCTGCCTCGCTCCTGGCAGACTGGAGCAAGAGGACGACTTGGAAAAATCTGATCTCCAAACACAGTGTGTGTGTGTGTGTGTGCGTGTGAGTGACACATATGACTGTACACTTTTCTCTCAGTGTATGTGTTTTGTTGTTTTCCATCTATTACGTTGTTGGTATGTGTTTGGATTTCTTTTGGTCTTTTCCGCTCTTGTTTGTGTGTAAATAGTATATGTGGTGTGTGTATGCGTGCGCGCGTTTCCGTTCTCAGCCATATTTGAAACCATGTGGCACCGAGACGACAAATCAGATGAATAGAAGGAACTTTCCTGTCTGAGAGGTTTCTTTCTCTCCTCTCTTCCCCCTTATTACTCACTCCTTCCTCCTCTTTCTGTTCGCTACTTCCTGCTCCCCACTACCCCTCTTACCATGTCTCATTCTTTCTCTCGTCTCCCTTCTTTTCTTTCCTCTACACCCTTGTTTCTTTCTTGTTTACACATCTCTATTTTCCTCTGCCTGTCCCCTCCTCTTTCTTCTCTTTCTCCCTCTTTTTCTTTCTCCCCCACTGCCCCCTCTGTCTTTACACCATCCTCCCATCTCCCCTCAGTATTCTCTCTTGCGTCCTCTGTCTGGCCCTCCCTTTGCCACCTGTCTCCTCCATGTTTGTGCAGCAACCTCTTTCACCTCCTCCCGTTCTCCTTCTTCAGCTCTTCCTCTCCTCCTTTCTCGTGCTCTCTCTCTTTTCACTCTTTCATCCTTTAATTATAAATGTGCAGCTCTTTCTTTCACTCTGTTTGCCTAACCCCGCCCATCCTCCATCTCTGTCGTTGTTGTCATTACTCTTCTTATTATTTTTGGTACTTTTCTTTCAATCTTGTTCTCCCCCTCATCTTCTCAACCTCAATGTCTTTCCTTTTGTTTCACCTTCTTATCCCACTCCACATTTCTTTTTTTCACTGTTGTCTTTCTCTCCACTCTTCCTCTTTTTCTAAGGTTTCTCCCCGCCTGTCTCCTCTCCTCCTCCTTTGTTCTCCAGCTCCTCTGCCTTTCTCCATTTTTTTCTTCCTCTCTCTCATCCCATCTTATCTTGTCACCTTCTTACTTTTAATCTCTCTCTCACCCCGACTTTCATGGCTCTCTTTCTCTCTCTGTCCATCCAACACTATTTTTTCTTCCTCTCTTCTATTTTCTAGTGTGTCTTCCTGTTGTCTGGGTTTACAACACTAAAAAGGGTTAGGATTTCTTTTCTTCGCACCTCCTGTGACCACTTCCTCCACCGCATCCTGTTTATTTCCTGTTACTCCTGTGACTGGACTCTCTCAGAAAAATACACAGACACCCCCCCCCCCCCCCCCCCACACACACACACACACACACACACACAGCAGCCTCTAATTGAATCTACAAGAATAAACTCTATAAAAAGACAAACTTAAAAACGGCACAGCAGCCATGAGCAGTATAAAGAGCCTTGATTTCACACCTGGAAATGCAAAAAAGGCAGACAGACCTTTTGGGCCCTTTGCTGATGCTACAGGATGTTTGTACAGCATTTGATAACTGAAACTTATTACACATTTTCATGGCTAACATGTTCCATGCATCATGGAAAAATATTGTTGATATTTTTATAGCCAGTTATCTTGTCACAGCTATTTTTGTTTGTTTGTTTGTTTTATGAATGATCTCACACTAATGATCGCTGTCATGTGTGTTTTCTCACAGGATGGCCACATAAGGACACTTTCTGTCGGGACTCCCATTAAAACCAGTCTGACAGAGCGCAGACCGAAAGGTAAGCCGTGCCGGCATCTCATCCTGATTTCATGACGGACTTTTAGACGTTCCAAGGTTTTTTTTCTGGACAGTGGACTGTGCGGTTTGTGTTGCATAATGTGGGCTTTGTAGATGCGATGATGAGTTTTTCCTTTAATAAACACCGGTGTGAATCAGAGCAGTGTGTTTGGGCCAAAAATGTTCCTTAAAGGCTTTGTTTCCATCCACTTATCAAACCGTTCGTACGCAAACACATTTGAATAGTCAGGGTAATTCAGGTTTGTGTCTCTAACCTTTGGATTTTCCACGCAGCATGTTTAACATTTAATGCTGCATTTAGAAAGAACATAAATCCGCTTTAAAGGAAATTTCTTTGAGGAAAGAATTTTCAGTTTCACTGTAAACACCTGTATACAGTCAGACTGGAGGGACATTGCAAAGACTTTCCATTGTAAAACATTATTTTGTTATTTTGGCATTTGAAGTGACGATGACTGCTTAACCCTCTGAGGTCTAGGTAATTGTTGGTGATAACTATTCCTCACCCAACCATGACCATATGTTTTGGAGCAACGTGACACTGAATTGTACAGGGAAAAAAATATGAATAGTTTCTGAACAACTGATGAACTTTCAGGTTTGCATTCAGCCTCAAATCTCCCCGAATTAGAAGAGAAATACATACAATTCAGACTTAGGATCTTATTTTGAGAACATTTCCAATCACATGTCATTCTCCAGAAGAATCAAAGTGACTGAATATTGGAGCTTTGAGTTGTTGTTACAGCTTATGCAGAGGTTTGACCTTCACGTGGAGCTAACTTAAGCAGAAGCTGTGTGGGCAATCAGCCTCCTCTTTGGATGCCTCATCTGTAAATGTAACCCTTTCCCTTTGGAGGCCTACTAGGGCTAAGCCTTGTTTCTCTTTTCTGAACTCAGCAGTTTCTTTCATATTTCAGAATTGTTAGAGAGGTTGATCTCTGCCTATACATTTTACTAGCGCTACCCTTGGAAAATTGCACAACCTATATATGCTGAGGTGTCAGATCTCGTCACTGAGGGTACTGGCGAGGTCGTTAAATGTCATCTTTAGGGGGGGAAGAGTTAAGATCATTGTTTTACTGCTGTGTTGAAAAATCCAACCACAAGTGTAGAAGCTCAACACTGTTGTGAATCTCATACTGACTGGCTCATCTCTGGCTTGAGCATGGAGTACATGCAAATCTATAAGTTGGCCAGTGAGAACTAACCGCAAGCCTTAAAATGTTGTGATTACAACCCTGGGTTTCCAAGCTGCGACACACTAATAGATACAGTTCTGCTTTCCTGTGGTCTCAGTGAAAATGCAGAATTGTATTCAGTCAGTTCAGATCAGCTTCCTGTTTGCCTTCTCTGCCTATTGATGGCTAGTTGCCTTGTTTCTATTGGCCAAGCGAACATTTGTCACAGAGCGATCAACTTTCAACTTTCAATAGAATTTACATGAGATCTCTGAAGCTGCAGGCTGTGTTTGACGCAGCAGCAGACTACCACCGCTCATTGCAAGCCACTGGAAATACTGTGTTTCAGAGTGCAGCGGAGGTGGTTACATCCTGTCTGACTGCTTCACGATCCAGCGTCTTGTGTGGACACGATGCCGATGCGCCGATTAGTTTGGGATCCGTGATTCTTCAGTTAAACAGCAATGCAGGGTGGTGCTGAACTTGTTGATGGCTCCCTGTGAAAATATTAGCATGTTTTTACAGTTAATATTGCAAAACGAGTTATTCGAGTTTCTGTGCTCTTGTTGCCCTGGTTACACTGGTTTCTATGGTATTTATAGTATTTTTTGTCTTCTTTTCAAACTTTATTTCAGATTGTTACACTTTATTTTCTTTCTGATTACACATTATTTCTCTTATCTTATTGATAACCTTTGAATGTCTTTATGGATCATAATGTTAGCTTTCTCAGGTTTTATACCCTCCTGACCTGGTTACACTTGTTTTCTAGTGTTTCTGATATTTTTATGAGCGTGTGAAAAAAGGAAAATTCTTTTAATGTGAACCATTAGAGCTGCAGGAGAGGACAGGATTACAATGTGACCACAAACAGAAATGGAACTAGAAGTCAAATATAAAACACACACACACACACACACACACACACACACACACACACACACACACACATTCCAGGGAGCCAAATTACCATCACCCGAAGTAGCTGAAATGATTTTGGTTTGACACAGACACTGCGGTTGGCAGACAGAGAAAGTATTTTAGAAAGGTGTAAAATAATACGTTACCTGCCCCAACATGCTAACACACACATACACGCACACACACACGCACACACACACACACACATGCACACAGACAGCATTCTAAACTTTGCCAGCGCAAGATTAACAAGCCAAAACATGAACAGACACCATGAAAAACAAAACAAATCAGCACCACAGAAAATGTTGCAATGAGAAGATGTGCCATAGTTATGTCACAGCGAAGATGTGATGAAGTGTTTTCTGATAATTCAAACACAAACACACACAAACTCAGAGGCTTTCAGCAGCCTGCTGCGTGCCAAGGTTATGAAACAATTTGCATGCACGCGCCTTTCAACACAATTCTTCTTTACGTCCATTCAAGCTGAGACCCAACTCTGGAAAGATAAAAATAGAACCTCGCTGACCTCCTCTTTCTCTCCCTCTCCGTCCCTCTATCTCCTTACTCCCTCCCCGCTTTTCTGTCTCTGCTCTGATATTGTTGCAGCTGTTTTGCCCCAGTTGGGTAATGCTTGCACTGTAACAAAAGCAAAAAGAGGTGTTCGGGGTCGAGGCTTCGAGGATTTTTTTTTTTTACTCTCCCCAGTGGGAAATATGGCTTTCATCAACACAGTACTCGCTCACAATAATCCAAACATACAGAAACAAGAGATCAAATGACGCAACAGACAGTGATTCACCAGCAAAATGTGAGGCGAGAGTTTGTTTGGTGCAGTTTTGTTGCAAATTTGAGGTCCAGAGTGCAAAATAAACGGCAGTGACAAACAATTTGAACTGGCTCAAATTACGGGTCACCGCAGTATTTAGATAGAACTAAACAGCAGAATAATTCAGGGGTAAATTCACCCACGCTCGGTTTATTGACAGGGAGTGAGGATGCAGTTGTCCCGACAACCTCCAGAGACGGCAAGTCAGGCATCCCGCCGCGCTGATATCAACTTCAGAATAAATCCAGTTTGTTTTCGCAGCCCCCATGCACAGCAACGACCTAAATGGAAATACATGTTTGCATGCGGACAGAGAGGGGAAATGCACGCGAAGCAAACAGGTGGCAGACATCTGGGATAGTAACTTTAAACTAGCTGTGAGTATTGAAAATATTAACTCGTAAAAAGCAGCAGATTGTTGTAGATTTAGAACAAGCGAGCATCTGCTGTCAATTAAGATCTGAGCAAACTTGACAGCGATGACAACAATGTTTAAGGCTACTCAGCCGAACATGCTGAGTAGCCCTAAAGAGGAGTTTACAGAGAGCAAGGAAAACAAGCAATGCGTCCTGTTTCCTTGAAAGGTCCAGGCCTTTTTAAGGGATGTAAATATCAGCTGGTTAAATGCCAAATTGAGAGACCGGGCACGGTGACTTCAAGGACAGAGGAGATGCGTGCCACTCTCGAGGTCAAAACGGACGTAATTAGATAATTAGATCCTGCTTGGGAACCCTGCAGGGTTATAAATGTACTCTGGCCAAGCCAGAATGACGAGGGGAAAAAACGTGCAGGGCAGTACATTAAAACGCTGATTGATTGACTGATTATTCCTTTGAGGTCTCATGAAGAGTAATTCTAAACCAAACTCCTGTCCATGTATTTGTGAGAAAAATAAAAACGACTTCTTTGGAAAAATATAAATAGTGTCTCATGTGTTACTTGGAAAGATTTTTGAGGCCATAGGGTTCGAGTTACTTCCTACTATTGATGAGGACCTAGGCCTCGGAGACCTGAGTCATCCTCTTTGTCATGATCACTGTCGGCACATCTCCAAACACCTATCACAGATACCAGCGGTGGAAAGTATTTAAAGTGGTCCTGGGATGAATATTTTTATTGTTGGACAAATTTACAAAAGTAGTTTTGCATTATCTCGAGATCTGATTAATCAATTTTTATCTGTCCTAAATACGTTGTTTTATTTCACTTTGCTCTGATTGGCTGTGGTTGTATAACATTGTGTCTATATTTCCATCTACATATGTGTCTCTGGGAAGAAGGGAACGTTTTCCTTTCAAAGATGCCACTAATTGTCTGTTTTAAAGCTTTTCAGACTGCACCTTTCTCACCCTTTTCGGCTGACTATGGCTCGTTGTTCCTTGATTTGACTGGTTAGCCTGTTGTGGGCTTTAAAGGACAGTCCAGTCTTATCTGAGAATTATTTTTAAAGCTCCAGCCCATTTTTCTGTTTCCATGCAAGACTTTCCAGGCATGCTAGCTTACAAAATCCATGTACTTTAATATCTACCATCTTCTAATACAAAGAAAAATATTGTACTTGTAATATTGTACACTGCTACAGTTACCAGTACAGGGTAATTACTTGGTAATCTTTTGTTTCACACGTATTTGTTATATTGCACAAAATAAAAATAAAATATTTGTGCCTTTTTGAGTGAGACTCAAGAGACTGAGTCTCGGAGTGCACTGCAGACAACTGTGGGATGCTTTAATTTGACTATTTCCCACTATAGCACCTTCTTGAGTCAGCTGTAACCTTCAGCATTTTGCTGAGCGCGCAGTAGCACAGGATGAATAATGGGCGAGGGTCAGTACTGTACAGCAGCCTTGTTGTACGCTATTAAACTGTATCAGCATACAACAGAAAGGTACAGTAATGGTGGTGGCACATATGTGGTGAATAAAAATGTGTGACTAGTCAAGCAGCACAGCCACATTTCATGAAAATCAGCTGGTTTACAGCAAAGTAGACATGACATCGCACCATGTCAGTCATTGGTCAATCAGTAATGATGTCATTGAGCC